AGAGGGAGGGGGGGGGGGGATTCAGCAGGGAGGAGAATGTGGCAAAGAGCTTCCTAGGGTTAGAGGCGGATGCTTGGAATTTAGAGTGGTAGAAAGTGGCCTTAGCAGCAGAAACAGATGAAGAAAATGTAGAGAGGAGGGAGTGAAAAGATGCCAGGTCAGCAGGGAGTCTAGTTTTCTTCCATTTCCGCTCAGCTGCCCGGAGCTCTGTTCTGTGAGCTCGCAATGAGTCATCAAGCCACGGAGCTGGAGGGGAGGACTGAGCCGGCCGGGAGGATAGGGGACATAGAGAGTCAAAGGATGCAGAAAGGGAGGAGAGGAGGGTTGAGCAGAGGGAAGAGATGATAGGATGGAAGTGGAGAGAGTAGCGGGAGAGAGAGAGCGAAGGTTGCGACGGCGCATTACCATCTGTGTAGGGGCAGAGTGAGTAGTGTTGGAGGAGAGGGAGAGAGAAAAGGATACAAAGTAGTGGTCGGAGACTTGGAGGGGAGTTGCAGTGAGATTAGTAGAAGAACAGCATCTAGTAAAGATGAGGTCAAGCCTTCACATTAGTCTTTCTGTATGGCTGTTAATTTTATATTACCAATAGAATTTACAATTAGCTTCAGTTAGAGAAGATGGAAGTGACTGAAACGAAAACATATGCCTAAAGTACTTTGCTCTTCCTTCAAAATATAATTTGGTGAATCATGGGTGACTCCGTCATTTGGAACCAATTTCTGAAAATTATTTTTGGTAGCATTTCTGTGTTGAAGATTTAAAAAGAATTTGGTGAATTTTTCCCCATATTCCATCCAGTTTGCTTTATTTTTATAATATATTACACTTGATCTTTCTTGAATAAGTAATTCTCTTTTTGTTTTCTCATGATTTGGTTGGGTCTAATTGTGTTTCTGTCCTGGGGCTCTGTGGGGTCTGTTTGTTTGTGAACAGAGCCCCAGGACCAGCTTGCTTAGGGGACTCTTCTCCAAGTTCATCTCTCTGTAGGTGATGGTTTTGTTTTGGAAGGTTTGGGAATCGCTTCCTTTTAGGTGGTTGTAGAATTGAACGGCTCTTTTCTGGATTTTGATAATTAGCGGGTATCGGCCTAATTCTGCTCTGCATGCATTATTTGGTGTTTTTCGTTGTACAAAGAGGATATTTTTGCAGAATTCTGCATGCAGAGTCTCAATTTGGTGTTTGTCCCATTTTGTGAATTCTTGGTTGGTGAGTGGACCCCAGACCTCACAATCATAAAGGACAATGGGTTCTATGACTGATTCAAGTATTTTTAGCCGATCCTAATTGGTATGTCAAATTGTATGTTCCTTTTGATGGAATAGAAGGCCCTTCTTGCCTTGTCTTTCAGATCGTTCACAGCTTTGTGGAAGTTACCTGTAGCACTGATGTTTAGGTCCTGGCAACTGGACCTTTTTGGAACACCATTATTTTTGTCTTACTGACATTTACTGTCAGGGCCCAGATCTGGCAGAATCTGTGCAGAAGATCTAGGTGCTGCTGTAGGCCCTCCTTCTTTGGGGACAGAAGAACCAGATCATCAGCAAATAGTAGACATCTGACTTCAGATTCTAGTAGGGTGAGGCCGTGTGCTGCAGACTGTTCTAGTGCCCTCTCCAATTTGTTGATATACAGTGGGGGAAAAAAGTATTTAGTCAGCCACCAATTGTGCAAGTTCTCCCACTTAAAAAGATGAGAGAGGCCTGTAATTTTTATCATAGGTACACGTCAACTATGACAGACAAATTGAGAAAAAAAATTCTCCAGAAAATCACATTGTAGGATTTTTTATTAATTTATTTGCAAATTATGGTGGAAAATAAGTATTTGGTCACCTACAAACAAGCAAGACTTCTGGCTCTCACAGACCTGTAACTTCTTCTTTAAGAGGCTCCTCTGTCCTCCACTCGTTACCTGTATTAATGGTACCTGTTTGAACTTGTTATCAGTATAAAAGACACCTGTCCACAACCTCAAACAGTCACACTCCAAACTCCACTATGGCCAAGACCAAAGAGCTGTCAAAGGACACCAGAAACAAAATTGTAGACCTGCACCAGGCTGGGAAGACTGAATCTGCAATAGGTAAGCAGCTTGGTTTGAAGAAATCAACTGTGGGAGCAATTATTAGGAAATGGAAGACATACAAGACCACTGATAATCTCCCTCGATCTGGGGCTCCACGCAAGATCTCACCCCGTGGGGTCAAAATGATCACAAGAACGGTGAGCAAAAATCCCAGAACCACACGGGGGGACCTAGTGAATGACCTGCAGAGAGCTGGGACCAAAGTAACAAAGCCTACCATCAGTAACACACTACGCCGCCAGGGACTCAAATCCTGAGGTGCCAGACGTGTCCCCTTGCTTAAGCCAGTACATGTCCAGGCCCGTCTGAAGTTTGCTAGAGTGCATTTGGATGATCCAGAAGAGGATTGGGAGAATGTCATATGGTCAGATGAAACCAAAATAGAACTTTTTGGTAAAAACTCAACTCGTCGTGTTTGGAGGACAAAGAATGCTGAGTTGCATCCAAAGAACACCATACCTACTGTGAAGCATGGGGGATGAAACATCATGCTTTGGGGCTGTTTTTCTGCAAAGGGACCAGGACGACTGATCCGTGTAAAGGAAAGAATGAATGGGGCCATGTATCGTGAGATTTTGAGTGAAAACCTCCTTCCATCAGCAAGGGCATTGAAGATGAAACGTGGCTGGGTCTTTCAGCATGACAATGATCCCAAACACACCGCCCGGGCAATGAAGGAGTGGCTTCGTACGAAGCATTTCAAGGTCCTGGAGTGGCCTAGCCAGTCTCCAGATCTCAACCCCATAGAAAATCTTTGGAGGGAGTTGAAAGTCCGTGTTGCCCAGCGACAGCCCCAAAACATCACTGCTCTAGAGGAGATCTGCATGGAGGAATGGGCCAAAATACCAGCAACAGTGTGTGAAAACCTTGTGAAGACTTACAGAAAACGTTTGACCTGTGTCATTGCCAACAAAGGGTATATAACAAAGTATTGAGAAACTTTTGTTATTGACCAAATACTTATTTTCCACCATAATTTGCAAATAAATTCATTAAAAATCCTACAATGTGATTTTCAGGATTTTCTTTTCTCATTTTGTCTGTCATAGTTGACGTGTACCTATGATGAAAATTACAGGCCTCTCTCATCTTTTTAAGTGGGAGAACTTGCACAATTGGTGGCTGACTAAATACTTTTTTCCCCCACTGTATATGTTGAAGAGGGTGGGGCTTAAGCTGCATCCCTATCTCGCCCCACGGCCCTGTGGAAAGAAATGTGTGTTTTGCCAATTTTAACCGCACACTTGTTGTTTGTGTACATGGATTTTATAATTTTGTCCTGTAGTTCATTCAATGTAATTGGAGAATCCAGTGGGTTCTGGTAGTCTTTAATGGTTGATTCTAAGATTTGTATTCGATCATGTATATATTTTTGCTGTTTGTTCTTTGTTATAGGGCCAAAAAGATTGAAGAAGTGGTTTATCCATACATCTCCGTTTTGGATAGATAACTCTTTGTGTTGTTGTTTGTTTAGTGTTTGCCAATTTTCCCAGAAGTAGTTACATTCAATGGATTCTTCAATTACATTGAGCTGGTTTCTAACGTGCTGTTCCTTCTTTTTCCGTAGTGTATTTCTGTATTGTTTTAGTGATTAAACATGGTGAAGTTGTAGGCTCAGGTTTTCTGGGTCTCTATGTTTTTGTTTGGATAGGTTTCTCAATTTCTTTCTTAGGTTTTTGCATTCTTCATCAAACCATTTGTCATTGTTGTTAATTTTCTTAGGTTGTCTGCTTGACATTTTTAGATCTGATAGGGAAGGTGATAGGTCAAATACACTGTTTAGGTTTTCTACTGCCAAGTTCGCTATTAGAGTGAAACATTTTATCCAGGAAGTTGTCTAAAAGGGATTGAATGTGTTGTTGCCTAATAGTTTTTTGGAAGGTTTTCACACTACTTTCCTTCCATTTATAGTATTTCTTAATATTATGCATTTCCGTTGGCTTTGATGCCTCATGATTGAGTATTTCTCTGTTCAAGTAGATTGTGATTTTGCTCTGATCTGATTGGGGTGTCAGTGGGCTGACTTTGAACGCTCTGAGAGACTCTGGGTTGAGGTCAGTGATAAAGTAGTGTACAGTACTACTGTCAAGAGATTAACCTCTTCAGCCCGAGGTTCCCCATATCCGGGGTACTCCTCCCGCAATCGTAAACAATGACGTAGTATGGTATTTAAACGTGTGAATACCTCAATGTTATACACTACTGGAACGAGAAGCATCTCAACTGTGAATCTAGCTAAACTGTTGTTGCCCAAATGAAATAATATTCAGACTCCAAGCAAATATATAAGCATATAGCAATACCAGTACTGTATTTTGAAACTGTGCATGCCTGTATATTCGTAGACAGATAACTTATTTTTCTCAACCTATCTACACAAACGATACACAATTCGAAAGCTGCTAGCTCACAGATTCCAACAGTGATAGCCATGTTCCTCAATGACCAACACTCACTAAACTATTAATCAAAGAACGTCAATAACAAACAACAAATTGTGTCTTACCTTTGTTGTTTTTGTTACCAAAAGTAGTGTCTGATCAAATAAAACCACTTGAAAAGATACTCTAGTGTCTCTCTCTCATTCCGAGTCGATTTCAATGAGTTTACATTGTTTTACAATGTGTTTGAAGATGAAGTCAGTAGTTTGTTTCAATCACAACAGGCACTGTTTTGTCCCCATCTTCTGGATATATGATGCAATCCCAGTGGCTTGCAATTGTGCTAATTTAATTATACTGATCCAGTGCTTTCGATAGAGGGGTCACATGTCAAAATCTACCAACCGGTTGTTGAAATATCCAAGTGGGCACCTCATTGTATCATATTAGTTGACTTGCTGCATTACGCACGGTTACGCAGTGCGCACAACAGCACTTGAATTTCAGAGGGAAAACGCAAAGTTTATAAAAAATATGGCAGGCTCTAGTAACAAATATACAGTTACAGAGGCGTTATTAATTGTAACAGATGAAAGTTGGACTCCATGTATCCCCATTGACTCTGAATCGGACGATGAGGACCTGCTTAGACCGGACGAACCAGACCCCAACGACGAGAACGAAGGTTATCGTGTCCAGGGCCCTACTCAAGCATCAGAAGAGTATGTAATCCCATTGTTATTTATTACTTCTAATACTACTATTACTAATTTATTGTATGAGTACAAAACATACATTCTAAAATATCTATTTGAGTAACTGAAGCTCAATTTAAGTTAGCGCTATCTTAGCTTAGAGGCCCACATGCAAGTTTACTTACAATAGAATGCTATGTGTTTTATTTCTTGCCACTGAATTATCACTTTAGTCAACATTCTCATAGTTCTAACTATTTATTTTATATATCTGACTTTTTGAGTCAGATTTGTCAATGAATGAATACAAGTGTGTTTTAGTCATGATTTTCTTTTCTCTTTTGTCTTGTGTGTACAGTGAAGATGATTATAGGGGTGATGAGCCACAGCCAGAGCATCTGCCTCCTCAGCCACAGCTTCCCCTTCCTCAGGCAGAGCCTCCTCTTCCTCAGCCTGGCCGCTTGTCTAGACAATGCACTTCTGCTCCCCTCCCTCGGCCACGGTCTTCATCGGACACTGAGTCCCCTGTAAAGAGCCCTCAACCCAAAAGAAAAGGGAAAGCTTTCTCAAAGTCAGCGCATCCAAGTAAGCGTGGTGGAGGTAGGCCTGCCACTCCAAGAGTCGGGGAGGAAGAAGAGGAAGAAGAAGATAGGTGGCATAATAGAGAAGAGAATGATGAACGACCAGACCCAATCCGGTTTATGCCCACCAGAGTCCCAGGCCCCACAATCGACACCACTGCGTCATGGTCTCCCCTTTCACTCTTTCAACTGTTTTTTAGCACTTCGGTTGTCCGCACAATAATTTGCAACACTAATGCAAATGCTGCCAAAAGACTGCAGTCCGGACTGAAATTCGCTTGGATACCACTAACAATGAGAGATGCGGCAATATACGAAAGCAAAGCCCACTAAGTGGGGGTATAAATTATTTGTACTGGCTGACTCTCATACTGCTTATACGTGGAATTGTTTTGTTTATGAAGGCAAGAGTGTGTTCACACCAGGCCAGGGACTAAGCTACACTTCAGTTATGGACTGGATGCCATTCCCTCTACACTCTAGACTATTTCTATTCTAGCCCTGCCCTTTTTAAGGAACTACGTAGAAGAAACACTGGTGCCTGTGGGACAATTAGAACAAACAGGATTGGTTTCTCACAAACCAAAAGGAACAACCTGCCAAGAAAGCAGAAAGGGGAGATTTGCAGTGGATACGCAAAGGAAATTGATTATTTGTAAAAATGGATGGACACACGTGAGGTAACCATGTGCTCTACTGTACATGAAGCATTTAGTGGACAAACTGTCAAAAGGAAGGTAAAAGAGGGTGGTGTATGGCAGACTAAAACTGTGTCCTTCCCAGATGCGGTAGCCGACTACAACCGGAGCATGGGTGGAGTGGATTTATCCGACGCATTGAGTGGATACTACAGTGTTCACCACAAGACAATGAAATGTTACAAGACTTTTCTTTTTCATTTTGTTGATATTGCTGTTGTAAATAGTTTCCTACTTCACAAAGAACTCCATAAGAACAACCCCACTAAGCCGTACACACAGAAGAAGTTCAGGGAAAAGCTACTCACAGAAATGGTGAGCTTTGCTAAACAGTCTGAACCACAACCTCCACCACGACCACCACCAACATCCTGCATGCCAGAATACTATGGTGATGATGCCAGCAAAGACAGGAAGAACTGTAGGAGACGTCTGGATGTTGGCATCCCCAAAGTGAAAATACCTGTGTACTGCAGGAAGTGCCAAGCCCCTTTGTGCCTTACGTCAAAGCGTAACTGTTTCAAGGATTGGCACGACAGCAAGTTTTAGAGTAAAAAGCATCTACATTTTGTGTGACAACCCACCCAAGGACACCATATCATTGTTTATAGTTTTGGGATGTGTGGACTTTTTGTTTTTACATTTGTTGTTTATAGTTTCTAATAAATCTGCTCAGTTTGGAGTCAAACTTTCCCATTGTATGGTTTATTTTAATGGGAACACGTATAGAGGTCTGGGAGAACATTGGAAACAACATCAAAACCGTTGTATTTTGATGGAATGTTCACATGTTAGTGAAATAAAATGACTATTTCTGTCTGGTACCTGATAAAAGTCAAATGGCACTAATGGTGCCCAAATCTACCCAAATGTCTCCATTTGGTAATCCGCCTAAACATACTTCAACTAAAACCCCTACAACTTTGGTTTACTTTACTTTATTGGCATCAAACTTCACATAAGTACTCGTCAGATATTGGGCTATGGTCCCATAGTGTTTAGGGGCTGCAGCTGCATAAGTCCAATAAAGCATTCCCTATAAAACCTGGAGTTACTTTCAGGCGGAATCAAAACCTCCCAATTTATGCTGTGTTCTAGTTTCATGTACTCTGACACAGTAATACCCACATTAATTATTTCATTTCAAGACACATCTCCCATGTGTTACCTTTCTTTTGCTACCAAGATTATGTTGATAGCCCTTGTCGTTTTGGAGATATACTCTATTCAATTTGGGCATGCATTTTCGAGGCAGGCACTTTAGCCAGGTGCCTAGTGATGAAGAGGTTAACTATAGGTGTACCTACCATAGGAGTCCCCTCGAAGCCTACCATTGACTATGTACATGCTCAGCGTGCTACAGAGCTGCAGGAGTTGTGACCCGTTTTTGTTGGTTATGTTGTCATAGTTGTGTCTAGGGGGGCATATGGGGGAGGGAATGCTGTCACCTCCAGGTAGGTGTTTGTCCCACTGTGTGCTGAAGGTGTCAGGCTCTTGTCCAGTTCTGGCATTTAGGTCGCCACAGACTAGTACATGTCCCTGGGCCTGGAAATGATTGATTTCCCTCTCCAAGATGGAGAAGCTGTATTCATTGAAGTATGGGGATTCCAGTGGGGGGATATAGGTAGCACACAGGAGGACATTTTTCTCTATGGAGATAATTTCCTTTTGAATTTCAAGCCAAATGTAAAATGTTCCACAGTCACGGGAAACACTTGCATTTATCCGTTGTATGGTAGAAGGTTGAAAGTATTTTTGTGGCAGCAGAAGCTTTTTCAATCACTCCCTTGCGTGCTGTGGCCTTCCTTTCCTGCTGTGCTCTCAGGTCGTTTGTGCCTGTGTGTACTATTATGTGGCTGGGTGACCCTAGTTGGTCCTCAGACAGAAGGTCTCGAGAGAAGAATACGGGGAGGAGCTGGAGCGAGTGAGGATAGAGAGAGAGGGCAATTGCTCTAAGTATTATACTCCTAAGTAGGAGCATCTATATCTCTCTCTCTCTCTCTCTCTCTCTCTCTCTCTCTCTCTCTCTCTCTCTCTCGCTCTTTTTCTCTCTCTCTCTCAATTCAATTCAATTTAAGGGGCTTTATTGACATGGGAAACATATGTTTACATTGCCAAAGCAAGTCTCTCTCTCTCTCTCTCTCTCTCTCTCTCTCTCTCTCTCTCTCTCTCTCTCTCTCTCTCTCTCGCTCTCTCTCTCTCTCGCTCTCTCTCTCTCTCGCTCTCTCTTTCTTTCTCCCTACATCTCTGTCCCTTCCATCTTCTCATTCCTTTCTCCTTCCTTCTCTCTTTTCTATCCTATCTTTCCTTCTCTCTCCCTCTTTCTATATCCCACTGCCTCCTCTAACCTCTTCCCTCTCTTCCCCCTGTAGGTTTATCCTCATGGGGTGGTGGGTGGTGGGATGGCTCAGGACTGGGGGACCTAGATGATACACCACCCACTGGTGAGCCATCATCCTCCGCTGGTGAGACGTCATCCTCCACTGGTGAGACATCATCCTCCACTGGTGAGCCATCATCCTCCGCTGGTGAGCCATCATCCTCCGCTGGTGAGCCATCATCCTCCACTGGTGAGCCGTCATCCTCCGCTGGTGAGCCATCATCCTCCGCTGGTGAGCCATCATCCTCCGCTGGTGAGCCGTCATCCTCCGCTGGTGAGCCATCATCCTCCGCTGGTGAGACGTCATCCTCCACTGGTGAGACATCATCCTCCACTGGTGAGCCATCATCCTCCGCTGGTGAGCCATCATCCTCCGCTGGTGAGCCGTCATCCTCCACTGGTGAGCCGTCATCCTCCGCTGGTGAGCCATCATCCTCCGCTGGTGAGCCATCATCCTCCGCTGGTGAGCCGTCATCCTCCGCTGGTGAGCCATCATCCTCCGCTGGTGAGCCATCATCCTTCGCTGGTGAGCCAATATCCTCCGCTGGTGAGCCATCATCCTCCACTGGTGAGCCAATATCCTCCGCTGGTGAGCCATCATCCTCCACTGGTGAGCCATCATCCTCCTCTGGTGAGCCATCTGCCTCCCCAGCCCTGCACACCTCTACCCCGGCCTTAGAGAGCCAGTCCTCTGCCTCCACCTCCACCCCTGGAGGGTGGGAGGTTGTCCCAGACAACACTCAGCCCAAAGGGGGGACGTGGGTCCAAGTGACCCCATCAATGGTTGTGACCTCGCCCCAGCCAGTTGATAGGAGAATGGAAGAGGTTACCACTAGGACCACTAGAGCAGATAGCATGGCCACTGCTGGGAGTGGGAGAGCGATGGTGAAAGAGGAGGAAGGGAGTGCTGAGGGGGACTCCGACGAGGCCAGAGGGGAGATTCAGTTTACTGGTAGCCCCTTTGGAACCACCAAACCCAAACTCAGAGTCCCTCCATCCAACGACAGAACCACGAGGAAGAACCAGTCAGGAGCCAGTGGCAGCACAACCCAACCCCCAGTCAGCAGCTCCACAGCTGTGTCAGACAGCAGAGACTCTTCCCCTCCATCCAGACCAGGTGCTGGACCTCCAGCCCCTCCACCCTCAGCCTCAGTCAGCCAGGGCAGCTCCGGGGTCCCAGCGGAGAGAGCTGGAGAGAGGGGAGGCGAGGGGATGGAGAGGGGGCCCCTGGAGGTGCCCTCTGGACCACCAGTGGAGGATGATACAGCCTTGTCTCACTCACTCGGCTCTGGATTGTCTAGCAACGTGGACGAGGAGGGTGGCAGAGGTGCCGGATTCAACCGAAGCAACGGAACTCTGGGCTCAGCTGGTAAGTCCTGTCTGTCTGTCAGTTAATCAATAAATCAATTACATGTTTTTATTTTTTTATTTTTTATCCAAAGATTTGCACACAAAGCTGAACAAAACACTAGCATCATATTTCTAACCATCAGGGCCTCAGTCACGGTGATCTCTGTACAATGTTGTTTCCTCAATGCTGTTATTCAATGTGTTTTTCAATTCAGAGATAATAGCGTGTTGCCTTCCGACCTACAGAACTCCTCGTTCCAGACCCATCCTGTATGTACTCCCACTAGGGAATAGGAAGGTAGTCATGCTTCCGTAGATAGTCCCCTGATTAAGTTCACGGCACGTTTGTGTTCTGTACATTTTTATTTTTTTCCTTTATTTAACTAGGCAAGTCAGTTAACATTACATTTACATTTTACATTTTAGTCATTTAGCAGACGCTCTTATCCAGAGCGACTTACAGTTAGTGAATACATATATATATATATTTTTTATACTGGCCCCCCGTGGGAATCGAACCCACAACCCTGGCGTTGCAAACGCCATGCTCTATCAACTGAGCTACATCCCTGCCGGCCATTCCCTCCCCTACCCTGGACGACGCTGGGCCAATTGTGCGCCACCCATGAGTCTCCCGGTCGCGGCCGGCTGCGACAGAGCCTGGATTCGAACCAGGATCTCTAGTGGCACAGTTAGCACTGCGATGCAGTGCCTTAGACCACTGCGCCACTCAGGAGTAAAATGTAAATTTAAGTTAAGAACAAATTCTTGACGGCCTACACCGGCCAAACCCGGACGACACCGGGCCAATTGTGCGCCGCCCTATAGGACTCCCAATCACGGTTGGTTGTGATACAGACTGGAATTGAACCAGGGGGTCTGTACTGACACCTCAAGCACTGAGA